ATGCCAGATTGAATGACCCAAATGCCAGATTGAATGACCCAAATGCCAGATTGAATGACCCAAATGCCAGATTGAATGACCCAAATGCCAGATTGAATGACCCAAATGCCAGATTGAATGACCCAAATGCCAGATTGAATGACCCAAATGCCAGATTGAATGACCCAAATGCCAGATTGAATGACCCAAATGCCAGATTGAATGACCCAAATGCCAGATTGAATGACCCAAATGCCAGATTGAATGACCCAAATGCCAGATTGAATGACCCAAATGCCAGATTGAATGACCCAAATGCCAGATTGAATGACCCAAATGCCAGATTGAATGACCCAAATGCCAGATTGAATGACCCAAATGCCAGATTGAATGACCCAAATGCCAGATTGAATGACCCAAATGCCAGATTGAATGACCCAAATGCCAGATTGAATGACCCAAATGCCAGATTGAATGACCCAAATGCCAGATTGAATGACCCAAATGCCAGATTGAATGACCCAAATGCCAGATTGAATGACCCAAATGCCAGATTGAATGACCCAAATGCCAGATTGAATGACCCAAATGCCAGATTGAATGACCCAAATGCCAGATTGAATGACCCAAATGCCAGATTGAATGACCCAAATGCCAGATTGAATGACCCAAATGCCAGATTGAATGACCCAAATGCCAGATTGAATGACCCAAATGCCAGATTGAATGACCCAAATGCCAGATTGAATGACCCAAATGCCAGATTGAATGACCCAAATGCCAGATTGAATGACCCAAATGCCAGATTGAATGACCCAAATGCCAGATTGAATGACCCAAATGCCAGATTGAATGACCCAAATGCCAGATTGAATGACCCAAATGCCAGATTGAATGACCCAAATGCCAGATTGAATGACCCAAATGCCAGATTGAATGACCCAAATGCCAGATTGAATGACCCAAATGCCAGATTGAATGACCCAAATGCCAGATTGAATGACCCAAATGCCAGATTGAATGACCCAAATGCCAGATTGAATGACCCAAATGCCAGATTGAATGACCCAAATGCCAGATTGAATGACCCAAATGCCAGATTGAATGACCCAAATGCCAGATTGAATGACCCAAATGCCAGATTGAATGACCCAAATGCCAGATTGAATGACCCAAATGCCAGATTGAATGACCCAAATGCCAGATTGAATGACCCAAATGCCAGATTGAATGACCCAAATGCCAGATTGAATGACCCAAATGCCAGATTGAATGACCCAAATGCCAGATTGAATGACCCAAATGCCAGATTGAATGACCCAAATGCCAGATTGAATGACCCAAATGCCAGATTGAATGACCCAAATGCCAGATTGAATGACCCAAATGCCAGATTGAATGACCCAAATGCCAGATTGAATGACCCAAATGCCAGATTGAATGACCCAAATGCCAGATTGAATGACCCAAATGCCAGATTGAATGACCCAAATGCCAGATTGAATGACCCAAATGCCAGATTGAATGACCCAAATGCCAGATTGAATGACCCAAATGCCAGATTGAATGACCCAAATGCCAGATTGAATGACCCAAATGCCAGATTGAATGACCCAAATGCCAGATTGAATGACCCAAATGCCAGATTGAATGACCCAAATGCCAGATTGAATGACCCAAATGCCAGATTGAATGACCCAAATGCCAGATTGAATGACCCAAATGCCAGATTGAATGACCCAAATGCCAGATTGAATGACCCAAATGCCAGATTGAATGACCCAAATGCCAGATTGAATGACCCAAATGCCAGATTGAATGACCCAAATGCCAGATTGAATGACCCAAATGCCAGATTGAATGACCCAAATGCCAGATTGAATGACCCAAATGCCAGATTGAATGACCCAAATGCCAGATTGAATGACCCAAATGCCAGATTGAATGACCCAAATGCCAGATTGAATGACCCAAATGCCAGATTGAATGACCCAAATGCCAGATTGAATGACCCAAATGCCAGATTGAATGACCCAAATGCCAGATTGAATGACCCAAATGCCAGATTGAATGACCCAAATGCCAGATTGAATGACCCAAATGCCAGATTGAATGACCCAAATGCCAGATTGAATGACCCAAATGCCAGATTGAATGACCCAAATGCCAGATTGAATGACCCAAATGCCAGATTGAATGACCCAAATGCCAGATTGAATGACCCAAATGCCAGATTGAATGACCCAAATGCCAGATTGAATGACCCAAATGCCAGATTGAATGACCCAAATGCCAGATTGAATGACCCAAATGCCAGATTGAATGACCCAAATGCCAGATTGAATGACCCAAATGCCAGATTGAATGACCCAAATGCCAGATTGAATGACCCAAATGCCAGATTGAATGACCCAAATGCCAGATTGAATGACCCAAATGCCAGATTGAATGACCCAAATGCCAGATTGAATGACCCAAATGCCAGATTGAATGACCCAAATGCCAGATTGAATGACCCAAATGCCAGATTGAATGACCCAAATGCCAGATTGAATGACCCAAATGCCAGATTGAATGACCCAAATGCCAGATTGAATGACCCAAATGCCAGATTGAATGACCCAAATGCCAGATTGAATGACCCAAATGCCAGATTGAATGACCCAAATGCCAGATTGAATGACCCAAATGCCAGATTGAATGACCCAAATGCCAGATTGAATGACCCAAATGCCAGATTGAATGACCCAAATGCCAGATTGAATGACCCAAATGCCAGATTGAATGACCCAAATGCCAGATTGAATGACCCAAATGCCAGATTGAATGACCCAAATGCCAGATTGAATGACCCAAATGCCAGATTGAATGACCCAAATGCCAGATTGAATGACCCAAATGCCAGATTGAATGACCCAAATGCCAGATTGAATGACCCAAATGCCAGATTGAATGACCCAAATGCCAGATTGAATGACCCAAATGCCAGATTGAATGACCCAAATGTCAGAAAAACACAGGTAAACTTCCATTGCATTTAAACGATATTCTCCACCAAACTGGACAAAGTACAGTAACACTTGTATTGTCACTAGTGGAATCGACCATACATTTTTTTTTTTTTTTTACGTAGAGGTAGACCGACTCTATGTGATAAACAATTGGCAACCAAACGGTGGCTCGCTAAAGCGATATATTATGAAATTAAATTAATCACTCAATAGGTTTTAACGTTAGATTGTTTCCTCGATATGGCCATGGTGGTCAAATGGAGTGCCTCAAATGTTTAGAATAATTAAAATAAAATAAATGTTGTCAACTAAAAATTTTGAACGTCATAGCTAGCTAGACATTATTTTCAATTGAAAAAAAAAATTGTAAAGCATAATACCATAAGCCTATGCTTAAAATGTATTTTCTTGTGGCCGCCTGACAGCAACCTGTAAATCTGGCGTGACAGTGAACGTGTTAATAAGTAAATGTTGTTTAAATTATATCGTGTTTGATGTCATTTTCATTAGAAAAATCTCAGCAATATGTTAAGAAAAATTTCGGGATAAAAAAACGTAAAATTAAAAAAGTTGATATTTCAATCGCTTGGTTGCTTCGACTCACGTTTCATGCTTATCTTTTATTCGCTGTACTTGGCTACGTTCAGCAAACTACAAAGGCGGGCGCGAGGCTCGAAAACGTAGTCCGTGACTCTACGAGTGTCAGGTTTAGCTTCCTCGCGGTCTGACACTTGTGGAGAATATACTGTATCCCCGCGCCTCTCAGCCATTTTCGCGGCCATTAAACCGAGCTACCGCGGTCTGCGTTCGCGAAGAAAAGCGGTCGTGCCCCGGAAGAACGCGTCGCCGGCAGACGCAGCGTGTGACGAGAGGAGGATCAGCCGTGGCAACAGCCACGGCAGAGAGGATGACGACTTTTCTTCGAGGAAAGTCGCGCCCGTAAATTCGCTAATTTGCTTTGAAAAGAAACCTCCAGCCGGCAGATTTTCCGCGGGATAAATCCCTGGAGCGGCGAACGGATGGAGGAGGATCGACAAAGAGTCGAGACTGAGCCGGCTATCTCGGCCTCCTTTCAGTCGTTCCCGCGAACCGTACAGCCTCTCTCTCTCTCTCGCTCTCTCTCGACGACGTCTCATTGTTCGAGTCCCCTGTACACGCGCGTCTATACAACAGTGTCCTTTATCTTAATTCCATTACACTTCGCAACCCGACACGGCCCAGCCAACTGCGTGCCAGTAATGCACCCTCTGACTCGACCTGCCCGGCAACAACCACCCGAGAACCACCCTCCTCCAACAAGGCTCGTCACTGTAATTTCGTGCGAGCTACTTTGACGTGTTCTTGACTCGCGCCGCTTGGAAACCTCCACCACTGCTTCTCCTCCTCTTAGTTCCGGACTCCTTATTCATTCGCGGTAATTCAACCCCTCCCCTCCAGCATCCCCGGTTCTAGAGCATATCGCTGACGGGTAGGGACCTCTCGGTGTTATTTCTTTACAACGAAGTCGTGACTCTGTGTATTTTATTCGTTTTTCTATTGTTCGACGATCGCGACGACTAATTAGACCCTTGTTGCGTACGCCGGCCTTTTCAGAGCGAAATGAGGCATGGTCGAGGCTTACTGTCGAGGGTGTGTTTTACTTGTCTTGACCAGCTGGAATGTTTCTGTTGTTTTTACCTGGGGAATTATTTCTGTACAATAGGGGATGATTGTTTGTTTCGACGAAGCCTGCGGTATTGTGATTTCATTGAAATTATTGTTCCTCGAGTTTGTTTTCATAATAGCGACATGTAATATATGAATTTAGAATATTTGATTGGTGTGTTTGGTAACACGGTTTCTCTTGTTTATTGCCATTTGAACGGTTTAACGAGTTAAACCGAGACGTGTAAACGGATACGTTGAATGTAATTTTCCGTGAATGTAGCGGTGAAACGTTCGCGTTTACGACACGTTTAGCATCAACTCCCGGCATCGACTAACAAGCCTGTTTCGTCGTTTCTGTTACAGAGAGGTACGACACCGCGTACGCCTGCGAAGGCAAAACATTATGGATCGAGTGCGGCGAGGGAAAGCTGATCCACCTCATCAGAGCGAACTATGGAAGGTTCTCGATAACGATATGCAACGAGCACGGGAACACCGACTGGAGCGTCAACTGCATGTCGCCCAAGTCCTTCCGGGTGCTGAACAGCGAGTAAGTATACCAATGATCGACATCCTCGCATCCTTACAATACACGACTGATCCTGAACAATCATCTAGTTCCCTATTATCCTTCGTCCTGTGAATCGCGTCGAGGAATCACGTGATGGTGGTAGAATCGTATCGTATCGTTTTCTATATCGAGCCTCGTCGATATCGTCGAAGACAAAGCAAAAGAATGAGTCTAAAAGAGGGGAAAAAGAAGGGTAAAAAGAGTGGAAACGGAGGAAGAAAAATTGGAACTATCTCGCCGCTGCCAAGCATTTTCTATCCTTAATGAGTCGACTAGCACCAATTAAAGGAGACGTCCGATCTGATCTAAGGTAGATCGCGCTTGTCACTTTGGTCCCCGGGTTATCGAACGATCCGACTTTCCACGTGGATCGATATCTACACGGCGAAGCTTTTACGACCGCTCCATTCGAGAGATATCCAGCATGACACCTGGGAGTCTAGGCGCGCTAGTTCCCCTTCGCGGTAACGAGAAACGCTTCCTGAGTCGAGATGGTGCCGTGTGCGCACACGTCCGTGTGTGTATATCGATCATAGTCTTTCGATGACCTTGGACGATCTATACGATCTATCTGTGCGAATCTCGATCCGATCTGCTGTGGCGGATCTCTCGCCGCTCGGCAGCCAGAGTTACGCGCGCGATTGGACGGTTCGATCGACGGTGGCCGGGGAATGAAAAATTATTAACCGTCGAGTATGCGGAAATTCGACTCCCGTCGATTTCTCGCGCGGTGGAAAGATGCGCGCCGATCTGTGGTTCGAACCGCGGAAGCGTCTCTCTCCCTGGGATCGATCGTTGAAATATCGTCCGAGACTTTCTCTCCTTCCCATACGCCGGAATTTTTCCTCTTTAGAACTCGTTTACTCGCGCGACACCGTAACATTCGATATTTTCGAAACGTGCAGTGCCCACCTGTCGTGATTCGAATAACGCGTTCCACTCGAATCCGAGGATTTCGACATCGCGTTGTGAAAGAGGTACGAAAAATTAGAAGGTGTTTAATTAAATTTAATCGTTCGACCTCCATCTGTCATGCTTACGTGACAAGAGTAACCGGCAGACGAAAGTAGCCACAAATACGGACGTCGTTTAATCTCGGTTTCTAGTCACAGACTCGGTTTATACAAGTGTGCGTGTAGCTGTCACGGTGTTCTTACCGTGAAGTGATCGAGTTTCACGAAACCAGGGCAATAATTCTGAAAGGATACGAAAACGATTCGGAACCATCAGCTTCCTCGGCGCTGTTTCATCCCCACTCCTCCCCCTTGTTCATCCACGGAAATGGAGCAAAGAGCATGGAGTCGAAATGGTGGGGGAAAAAGATAGGGGAGAAAAAGGATATATCCAGGAAAGAAGGAAAATGAGGAAGGAGTGGACGGCTTCATATGGTCCGGCGAACTGGCCAATTGCTTGACCATTGAAGAGCGTATTTCGCGGCGGATCAGTGCGATAGGAAGAATCGCAAATTCAGCGGTCGCTTCTCTATCCCGGTCCTCGCGAACATCCACTCTATTTCCTTCGATCTTCGTGTCTGTGTCCCTCAGACTCTCACACGAACACACACACTCACGTACGTACATGTACATCTACACGTTCACACAAGATGCACACGTATACACGTGTGGAATACGTGTATAGAAACTATACGCGCGTTACACGCGTATTTCCGCGCGTCACACGATCCAAGAACCCCACGAGATCCCTTCTCCTCAGACACCCAATCTGACAAAATGTCCTACGGATTCCTGTTTCTATTCTTCGGTTTTTTATTTCTCTTTTTTTTTCTCTCTTTTTCTGATCTTTGTGTTGTTCGAAATGAAACGCGGCGATATCGGGAATCTGTCGCACCTATATTGGTTCAGATGTACAATCCGTAGGGAAGGAGGACAAAGAAGGGAGACGATGGTACAAGAGAGAGACAGAGAGAAGAGATAGAAAAGACGGTGACGTGGGATTTCGTTGATGAACCGCGACGCGCGTTTCGTCACTGTGATTAATAGATCGCTAGGCGGAAATTAGTTTCGCGGCAAAAGAGAGAGAGAGAGAGAGTGGGAGCGAGGTAACGTCGAGGACGATAAGACGGTCAACGGTGCCGGTAGTGTGAATAATTGGGAAAGATAATCGCGATGACGAATCGAAACTGTGTCCATTAACGTTATCCTTAACTCGGGTGGAAGCGGTAGCTGCGAGCAAACTCGATCTCCGTTGTCGATTACGGCGCTGCTGAAACAAAGAAGAAGAAGAAGAGGACGAACGGAGGGAGAGGCACGCGAGAAGAATGAGAGAACACACAAAAGCGCCACGTAACCGCGTAACAACCGCGAAGAAGCACGCGTTAAAATCAAATTACGTCGCGGAGTCCGCGCGGGGTTGTGAAAAGTACGTTTTCAGAAAAACGCATTTAAAGTTCCGTAGTAGCGTCTCACGTCGGGCGGAGCTAGTCTAAGGACCCTCTCCGGGCTGAGGAGTAATAACTTTCGGATTAACTTTAAGTGGAGAAGTTCCACGGTGTCGCTTCTACGGGGAAAGTCATACACGTATACACGCTCGTCGGCCGTTCTACACGCGTGCATTCGACGGATTCTCTTCTATGCGTTTCGTAAGATGAGGCAGCAGAGTTCGACGTCAATTTAACTCGTTTCGCGGAATCGATCGGGGAGATCGCCAGCTTGCCTGCTGATCGTAATCACCGTTTCTCCCTTGACGTACGTTCGTCTCTTCTCTCTCTCTCTCTCTCTATCTCTCTCGCGCGCGCTCTCTTTCTCTCTCTAGTTCTATAGACAGTCATCTATACACCCTTCTTTGCCTTTTCTCTCTTTACAGATCGATCTAGACCGCGGCAACTTTTTCTTTTTTCTTTTCTCTTTGCCGCGGGTACTTCAAAAGTACGTTCCGCGAAAAAACGGGAAATTTTGTACAACAGTACCGTTGGTTACTGTGTTCGCCGATATTGAATGGTATTCGTGAACAACGTAGCACAGGCAAGAGGACGGCTCTTGGTATAAAAATGTCTGTCTCTGTACGCGCGTATCGATGGCTCGTTTAATTTCCAGGCCGGATTGGATATTTCTCTTGATCATTTGCGTCCCATTTTCTCAAGTCAGAAAGAGAAATGGACGGTTTTAATCTGGTGTACGGATCGGCCTTTATCGGCGCGTCATCGGCTATTGGAATAAATTATTATCTTGGTAATCATTCCGCGTTCTTTTGCTATCTCTTTAACGAGTTGCCTTGGTTTATTAGAACCGTTTCTACGTGGCGTACGCTGTTCACGAGACTGTTCTACACATTTCTTTTGACTAAATTGAGAATCAACGGCGCGTGTTTTTATCAGCGATAGTTTTTAGTTTGTTCCGCTCGAGGAAATTCGTTCACCAGTTGTCGTAACTCTTTCGCATAACTTCGTGCCGCTTTCTATTTTTGTTTTTCTTTTTTCATTGTTTGATCTCACCGCCAACTCCTGCAATAATCGATCCGTTGTTACGTCTAACCTGCTCTTTCCTGTAACACCGAGGTGTGGTTCGCGCAAGGTGCATCGACTTCCACGAGAATTCACACGCATGTATATATATTCTCTCGCTTGAAACATTTACAGCTAGGTGTTCTGGGTCTACCTTTCACTGTGTTTCGCTCCGAAAGATCCTTTGTCAACGTGCTCCCCGTGAATAACAAAACCCTGTTTCTGTCATTAACGCGCCGGATGACATCGTGAATCAAAGCTTTGTAGCACTTGCTTAATGTCTGAAATCTATACTTTTTGTGCTTTTATTCAAATTCAAATGTTAAAATTCAACCAATCAAATTATGCTAATCAAATCAAAATACTGAAATTCAAATTTACATTTAACTTTAAATTCGAATTAAAGAACTGTACATTTCCGAGATGCTTGAAAACGGAAATTCACGCGTGCCAGTCGACGCGTTTCTCTAACTCCCCCTTCACGACATCGTACCCCAGAGAGATCCCTTTCCAGAGGTAAGCAAAATGGAGCAAGCGTATCCTAAATCAAGGGACAAGCAGTTCACGGTAATTCTGACCGAGGGTGACACACACTCTCTCTCTCTCTCCCTCTATTCTCGCAAGCTACACTCTCTAGTTCCTCTTAACGCATCCCACTCTCTCTCTCTCTCTTCGCTGCCCTAGCTTTCTCTTCTTTTTCACAGTTTATCTTCCCCAGTTGTGCCAAGATCTGTTAATATCTCTCTCGTAGAACGCCGTAGGCTATCGCTATTCACCGCGAGACCTCGAAATACCGACCAAATTCCGCTACGGCGTAGTATCTCGCTGAAAATAAAATAGGGAAAAAATATTTCGCGATCTCGACGATACCCAGGAGAGAAACAGGTCGTTCCGTGAAATCTCTCTAATCGTAGAATCGTCTAATCGAGACTCCTGTTAGATAACAACGATCGTGGGATTAACTAAGGAACAGAGCCGGAAACCGACACGTGAAACGACGGATTGACGGTTGTACAGGCCTTTTAGAGGTAGATTTATCAAGGGTGGCCCGACCACGTACGAGATTACGATTTAAGTGAAACCGGGGAAAGAGCCAGCGCGAGGACGGCTTCGCTGGGAACGATTAATGAAATTGAACGGGGCCAGAGAGTCCGTGGCGAAACCCCGTCTACGGAATTAATGACGCGCGCGGGGCGCTCGCGTAACCGTGGAAATGTTCATTAGACCCGTTGAGAAATGACGCGACTGGTTACTGGATTTTCCACTCTTAATCTGCCACAGTGCCGAGCCGGCGTGTGCAATTAGATCGGAAAAGAACGAGCAATTCGCGGGACGCGTGCCCGCGCCACGGAAATTAGCTACGTTTTATGCGTCGCGTTAACACCGATACCGTGGTTAAAATCACCGCGCCGCACGTTTCTCTCCCGAAGCGTTGATCGCTCGGTATAATCGTACATCGAGGATTTTACACTGTTGCTGGGTTGGTTTGCTGCCGGTGATTTGTAGATTAGACTCTCGT